AAACTAAATAATTTTTCGTTAGAATTAAAATACCGGTGCACAAGGCACCAAATTTTTACTTGGACACGGCCAAGATTTTAAATATGAAATAATCTCATATTTTGAGATTTAATTTCAATACCCCTTTAACCCCCCTACGGAAAATAAATAAATGAATGCAAGAGAAAAATATAGATCCGAAAATCGCTGAATCGGGAATCGAACCCGAGACCTTTCGCTTGCCGGGCGACTGCTCTTCCAGCTGAGCTATTCAGATCCTTTCGATTCTATACTTTTCTCTGTTATATCGATTCCCGATTCAGCGATTTTCGGATCTATATTTTTCTCTTGCATTCATTTATTTATTTTCCGTAGGGGGTTAAAGGGGTATTGAAATTAAATCTCAAAATATGAGATTATTTCATATTTAAAATCTTGGCCGTGTCCAAGTAAAAATTTGGTGCCTTGTGCACCGGTATTTTAATTCTAACGAAAAATTATTTAGTTTCGTTAGGATAACGCATTGTCATCCGCGATTTGGCTCTTGTTGCCCGTCTTATACGTTAAATTTATATTTAAGTAACATAGTTTTATTCTATTTTTCCTTTCTTTATTGAGAATAAGTTTTATGCTGTTTTTGAACTTTTTTTCTTAAGTTTATTCTTCTTTTTATGTTATTTTTCATTCTTTTATATTTTTCTATAATTTTTACTTTTATGTAATAGATACCTTCGATCTCAAACTTCACACACATGTGCATTGTTATAGTATAAATAAATTTATGTGATTAATATCCAGATTGAAATAATAACCGGATTTATTTTCATCATGCTCAATGGCACTTAATTAATAACGCACGATATGTTTGCTGTTCATTTGATTATGAAATAATAATTAATGACATTATGCACGAGAGAATAATCACTCTCGAGAGGTGTTTATTCGCGTGTCTATTGTAGAGGAATAAATTATGGAGATTTTAAACCGATACATTTGAGTACAAAAAACTCAGTAAGAGAAATCATTCATTTCTATTTTATTTTTCCCATTATTTCTCACGATTAGAAAGTATCATCGAATTATATTAGTCTTTAAATAAAAATTATATATTACGTCTAGAACAAAAAAAACTACGATGATTAAATAAATTTGAATTAAATCTTGTTTAATAAAAAATTAAAACTTTTTTTTTATTGGCTACATTTAATACAAATATTAAAACTATTTTCTTTAAGGCAAGCTTCAGTCAATAAAAAGAAAAGCGAAAAAAAGATAAACACAAAGAGAACACATCTCACAAATCACTGATCAATTAAAATATAATCCATCTATTACCTAAAACACAACACCCATTCATTTCTACACTGTAACTGTGCGTTCTCCCATTCTTCTTTCATCTCATCACTTTTACGGACGCAATTCCTCATAATTAATAATAATCGATCATTAATTTTGACGCAAGCATCGCCACACTCGAGTCGGAAGACGGCTATTTTTAGCGGCGCGGACTTTGACAGGAAGAACCGACGAGAGAGAGAGAGCACGTATAGGGTCTCGGGCACCACTAGTCCCAGCATTAACGCCATCAGCACCATCAACCGTCTCCAACCACCACCACCACCACCACCATCGTTGCCATTGAACTTCATTGCAATCAGCCGACAACAGTCTCAGATGCACCGACGACTTTCACGAGCGAATTGTTATACCTATTGTAAATATGACATAAACACGTGTAAGGTTGCCCGGAGCGACCACCCGTGATTTTCTCGACCGACCATGGCAAAAAATGTTCGGAAAAGGAATTTCGGCTCATTATATGTGTTTAGGGAAAAGTTGAATGGCGCAATAAACGCGTCGAACGCTTAAATGCAACAATGCACCGGAAATATGCACTTTTTCTTACGGAGCTACATTCAATTGTGGAACTCGATTTCTTAAATAATCTGTGTAAGTCAAATGTTCAGAGAGTATAGATTCTGTAAAATATTTCTTTACGTCTTTTATTTAGGTAAATACTCAAAATGTTTCACCCTAAAATAATAAATATATTTTAACGCTTTTTAAATAAAACAATGCATCGAAAATATGCAATTGCACTTTTTCTTGCGGAGCAAGAATTCAATTGTGGAACTTAATTTTTTAAATAATCTGTATAAGTCGAATGTTCAGAGAGTATAGATTCTGTAAAATATTTCTTTACATCTTTTATTTAAGTATAAATACTCAAAATGTTTCACCCTAAAACAATAAAGATAATTTTTATAACGACATAGAGCATTTTAATACTCGAGATTGTTAGCAATATGATATAAGCAAACAAAGTTGTTGACAATTATCTCATAGGTAAACAAGAGTCCTCTCTTCTTATTAATTAGAGCGTAATAATCAGTAGAAAAAAATTATAAATTATACTGTTTTGAAATATTTTTATATCTTCTTTATCATTTTTTTAATAACAAATTATTTTCAGTATAAAGAAAACACATTGATATCTAAATTATTTTGATTAGCAATTAATCGCATCTGTCTTACATTAATAGCAAAAAAATAAATTGTTATTAATTTCTTACATAAGTACGCGGTTGTTCCTCGTTACATAATTAAACGCCGTTTCATTTCCGTTCGTTGTTCGTTATTATCGTACATTAATCGAGGTTTCTTTCAAAATTACATCAAGACAAACACATTTTATTGACATAATTTAATTAATATATTACTGTTGATGTATTTATATATGATAATAAAAATATATTAAATATTAAACGTCATTAAATAATTTTCACTTCAAACGCGCATTTATTTTGAAGTATCTTATTTCTAGAATACATCCACATATATTTACTTTTACTTGCATAAGTTTTGTAATTATCCATGTATGTATATTGTATTCATGTACTAAAAATAATAAAAACAATAGAAAATATTTACAAAAAATATTTGAAAAAAGTAAAATAATACAATTATATTATATAAAATTTAAATATCATTATACGTATAAAATACATACAAAAATATATGAAATTATATATATATATAATTTCATACATTTATATGTATAATTATACGTATTAATAATTTTTCAGATTTCTTTAAATTTTATTTCTTCTAAATAAAAATAATGCATGAAAAATAATTCTTATTGTAAGTATATACAAACAGAAATATAAGAGAAAAAAAATACGAACAATATTTTATATACATATAATTATATATAAATTTATATTTGATTATACATGTATAAACATTTCTCGTGATTAACAATTAATTACAATAACAGTTTACTTCATTGTGAATGATGTAATGTGACATTCTCCGGTGTACTGATTATAAAATCAACCAGATATCTTTTTGTTACGATTACTCATTTGTGCACCGCAAAATCTCGTTGAATCGCATAATCAGCCGATAAAGATCGTCGAAAATAAACGCATGTTGTATTTCGATATAACAGGTTATTTTCATAAATCAGCAAAGCATTTGTATATAATTTGTTTATCACCTAGAAGCATTTCAAAATCCCGGAAATGCGCATATGATTGTGTGAATGGAGAATCAGCAAAGAGAGATATATATACATATACATGTCGAAATTATCGTTGATTTGTCACTTCCGGTTGCGAGAAAAAGAAAAAAAACATAGTTATCATATCATTATTCTATGTTCTTTGTATTCAAAATAAAATAAAGCTGAGATAGTTTATGTCGCATGCTAAAAGAAATTATAAAATAATTCCATAAATTATTATTTATTAATAATAATATTTTTTGGAAATTCAATTTTAATACCTTTATATGCAAAATCTCTAGAAAAATCGATTTACATACAAAGTATTATACGATCATTTAAAAAACACTTGTTTTGTAAAGAATAAAAGAAACTTTTACTAAAAAAAATTGTTCGACAATTTTTTTATTGTAATTTAGTTTTGCAACAAATATATTTTTATATTAATTTATTACAAATATATGTATAAAATTTCTCAAAGTATTGTCTTTTCTACTTTTTCATTTTTATTTAGTGTTTTTGCGATTTATTGAATGAGAGAGAGAGAGAGAGAACCTTCAAATTCAAACTCGCTTAAAATGAAACAAGGTCTAATCAACATCAGACGGGTCAAGTTTTCGGGTTTAATTGAATAATTAGCATTACAAAAGACTGGCCGCTATCAAAGGCATATAATTAATTTGGCGTATCACACTTCGCCAAACTTTTCGTCATCGGCACTTTGATTGTTTTCGTGACATACCGATTAATTTCTTCGCAGTTCTCAAACATTTATGAAAGTTTTTCTTTCATCTCTGCTTTGCTTTTATATAGTCTAATATTTCTCTACAATAATATTTTTACATAAAATCTTGATATAATAATTTTCTGCAATTTATTGATTGAAATATTTTTAGCTAAAAATATATTTTTAAAAATTATATATATTTTTAAAAATAAAATTATATATAATTATAAAATAAATTAGAATCATATATTATAATTATATAATATTTGTAGGATAAATCTTTTTAGATAATTAATTAAAAAGAAAACAAAGAATGCTTATTCAAAATATAATAATTTTGATATAATAACAATAAATGAACAATTATGTTTAATATTAATATTGCAAGTTTTTTTATTATTTTATTATTATTATATAAACTGCATTTCTTACTAAACTTTTTTTTAATTTTTCAACGGAATATTTTTCGTTATACATTACGAGGTGTTTACGTGCACCTACTAAATACGCTGTCATCTGTATTGTCATTCGTGATTGAAACAATCGAACATGTCATTACACTGCGTTCATTACCAGTCACTAAGTTTTAACCATCAAATTGTATATTTCTCTCTTTCTTTCTCTTGTTTTTTCCTTCGACATACAAATCACGAAATCTTCTTCCTTTGCCTCGAAGGCAAAGTATAAATTTTCTTTGGGCTAATGATATGAAATCAAAGTTCTAAACGAGATCGCAATTCGATATAACTGCGAACGACTTGATGACAGCCGGAGTCTTTATAAGAGAGCGACAAAAGCTAGAGTTACGATGCGTTGATAAAAATTCGAATACTTCGGATTAAATTTAGTTTTATATTTTTGTATAATTGACAAATATTCTAAAATGTGTGCCCGTTTATTAATCTGCATAGTTATGATCGCGCTCTGCGCGATAAATCAATCGGATGCTGTAAGTGTTGCACGATTCATTAAATATATATATGTATAAAATTCATTATATGAAATAGAGTCACATAGAAAATAGAGCCATAAATAGAATAGTAAATTTTTAATCAATATTTTAATTAATATAAATCAAGTCGAGAATTTGCGTTTAACGCACATAAAATAGTGCAAATTCTTCCTATAATTTTAATTTCTCAGAAAATATTATGGATTCTCTTAAGTTTCATAGAAAATAAAACTTATTGCCTAATTATTAAGAAATACAAAAAAATAAAATTTTACAAATTTTTTAATGCATTTTTTCATGAAGAAAGATACTTCAATTTTTTATATCATATCTTTATTAAAAATAATTCACATCATATCTATATAAAAATGATCCATTACTAAATAAAGATATAATATAATATAATATACGGCACGTTTTATTTCTCTCTTATTATAGATTCGTCAAAATTATAGATTCATCAAAAATTATTCATTTTTTGTCACAAAGTCTTTCAATTTTTCGTCAAACCTTGCAATAAAGTTTTAAATTAGAATTCTAAACTCCACTTAATAGTTTTTTGAATAATGTAATTTTATAATTTTTTGCTTCGTATTTAATTTACTCAACAACTTTATAATTATAGCAACTCGACATTCTAGCCAAAGAAAAATCAAATCGATAAGCTGCATGGTATTAAAAATGCACAAGCATATCTTATATGCATAGGAGTGGCAATCTTACATATGCATATATAAAATATTTACTTTCAGAAAAATAGTATACATATTTAATGTGCTTCTTGTCAATGTGCTGCATTTATTATGTTATAGGTGTTGACGATGGAACAAATTCAGAAGACCGCGATGACTCTTCGAAATACATGTATATCTAAATCCCACGCAGATGCCGGTGAGTTATGCAAGTATCGAAATTAATGTTATGCTACAGACGTATGAATAATCAACTTTACATCAATCATTGATGTACATAAAATTTTTTAAATGGTCTCGTTCAAATAACAAGATCTAAAAAAAATTCATTATTCATATTTATCATCTACCATCTCTGATTATTGCATATTTAAAGTTTATCTAGTAGAGAAAAAATATTAAATCTTGTGATTAAGTCAAATATATTAAACTTATATAAATCATCTAAACTGACATACAAAATTATTTCTTTATAACTAATACTGTACTTTATCTTATCGGCTAATATCATCTTCTAGATTCTTTTGTTCGTTAAATTCATAACTTTAAATTCGCTTATATATGCTAAATAAGTGAAAATCGAAAGATGTTTTATTCTTTATCTTTTTCACTTTTATCATATTTCTGTGATTTTCAATTATTATATCAATTTCGAAGACTAATTTCTGAAATTTCTCAATTTTTGAACATTTTCAGAAAATAGTATCCAATCAAATATTAATTATCTTCTAAATTATCTTATAAATATATATAACTCGATATTTAATAAATATATTCATGAAATATATTTTTATTTTGAACTTTAGCTACAATCCGAAAAATAAATAAATAATAAATAATTCCATAATTTTAAAAATGTAGATAAAAAAAACATGAATTATATGCACACTAATTAAAAATATTAATTAATTAACAAAATTAAAAGAGAAGAAAATTGATAGAGGTCTACAATATACTTGGAAATGAAGTAAAAACACGTGTGGTTTCACTCTCAATTGCAGCAAATTCTGTTTTAATTCTTACTTGTGTCTTCCGGATGCAATTTATGTTAGATGCTACTGTTTAGCGTATTTTTCCATGTGAGTAGGAATATTACGTGTATATCCGCGTTTTGTAATTTCAAACAGTCTATTTTCTCAACGTAACTGTTTCTTTTAACCTGCTTATCAATATTGTTACACAATTCTAACTTTCTTCTAATAAATAGCTCAGCAATCGCCAATATTAATTGTAAAACTCTTCAATTGTAAATAATCTTTCTTCTCGCACACTTCGTTTATAACGTGTTTCTAAAATAGAGACAATAATCATCCATAATTTTTTGAAATATTATAATAAAAATATTAGTGTTGAATTTTTCTCATTATAAAAAGATTTTTAATTTTTAATATTTTCGCTTTGTAGAGGCTGTCGAAGGAATGCAAACGGGCCAATTTCCGGAAGGCAATCAACCATTAAAATGCTACACACTCTGCGTAATGAAAGCGATGCGAACTGTAAGAAATAAAAGCACTATTCACTTAATTATCGCGATATATGAAACATAACGATAAATAAAATATCGTTCGATCTATTGGAATTCAATAAAAAATTGATTCTATTGTCTTGCTCAGCTTTGAGAAAAAATACTAATGCACTATACATATAAAAATGAGAGAAAAAATATTTAACCCATTTATTCTCTAACTAATTTGTTTTAAAAAACCGACACACCTAAATTTTTATTTTCGAGGAGGACATATATAGTTATGATAAATTCAACCGTGTTTTATTCTAACAATTTTTTTTAAATTTAATTATGTTCAAAACAATGCATTATTTGACTACTGCTGCCATCTGAAATTTTTTTCAAGATAGATATGAATACTGATTCATAAATGATACACTCTTAACTTTGCATAGATAAAATACCGTGGGTTATTAGCGTTAAGTATCGCTAATTATGTCAACCAACACAGTAATTTAGGTGTAAATTCGTATTAAGATATGTCACCTCAAGAAATCTTAAGATTGAGGGTTCTCCCCCTAAACCTTCATTTAATTCCTGCATATAAAAGTAGACGGATGTATTTTGCACGCAATTTGCAAAAGTTTGGTCCAGTTGCCATCCACTAAGGATCAATATCGCGATAATACTGGTCAGAAGAAGTGATTCATTAATTATCTATAGTGGAACTTATTTATGAATCAGCCTAATAAAATAGAAAATATCGAAACATTTTCAAAACATAAAGTATTTCTTGTGCTATATTTTCTGACTTATAAACATATTTATTATATATTCGTCATTAAAAAAAATTAGTCGGCTTAATCTTTACTTCTTTTCAATATATATCAATGCATGCATATTAATGTTGCAAAAGAGCTTTATCATAATATTTGCGAAGATAATAACGAAAGAGTGTCATCTTTTTATCGATATCATAATTTAATTGAATTTTTTGGTCTAAACATTTGATTTAAAAATTAAAAGAATATAAATAAAGATTTCATTAATCGAAAAACTCGACATTGAAAACGTCTTGACATAATTTATAAGAATATGTAATATAAAAGTTCCTACTTTTCTAATATCTATATTAATATTCTAATATTTAAATAAATATCTATATTATATATTTTTTTTTTCAAATCAAGTGGAAGGGTGGACGCATAGATGATGGCATGATGATTAAACAGTTGGATCTAATGATGCCTGCCGACCTGGCTGGACCTATAAAAGCATCTGCAACTGCATGCGCAAACGTGTGTAAGTATATTTTTGTGAAACAAGAATTAAAAAATATAATTTTAATAAAAGAAAATAATGCATTTTGTGGAGATAACTAAATAATCAACATTTATGTTGTTGTTTTCTAAATTTGATGTAAAAATCGATTTGAAAATTCATTTTGTTGTAAGAGATAAAAAAATTGTTTACATAATACAATTTTTTCGTGATTTTTTACAATAAATTAATAATCAAAATTATTTTCAGTATAATATCAATTTCAAATAAAACTATTTTGTAAATATAATTTTAGTAAATATTTGCATCTACAATTTATACACCAGCATAAAAAATTATTTATGCATTAATGAAAATTATTACAAATTGACTAATTAATTAAGTATCATACAGGTAAGTTAATTAGAACCAATGATTTAAAAGAAAAATAACAATTGTTTATTAAATCTCTGTTTTCCTTTCATAGCTCCTGGTAGCGACGATTGCGACACGACTTATAAATTTGTAGAATGTTGCTATAAAAATGATAAGGATCACTTTTTCTTCCCTTAATTAACATCGAATGCAGAAAAGTTTGGAAAAAAATATAATTACAGAAAACGAAGAATTGTGATTATTTTTGCAATACTATGTAAGCATAACCTGAGAAATATAAAAGAATATTATACTAATAAATAATATACAATAGAAAAAATTACAAAATTTGTGAGCAAATAGATTACAATACGTAGTAATTGTATCTTAGAAAAAAATTATGCAATAATTATGCGCGTTAGTGCATTATAATTAATAAATAGTTTATCTTAAGTATATGAAAGTAGCTGTTAAAATTTTACGTTGGTCAAAGCGCTGTTCAGAAAAGACTAAAGTATAGTTACACAATATTAAAATATCTTTATTCAAAATTATACTTTTCGAAACAAACATCCCTGTAAAAATGCAATTTCTGAAATTCCTCCTCTACTTGTCCTCTACTTGAATAATTGTTAAATAAAATTGAATAATAATTAAAACTGAAGATAAAAAATTAATACTACAACTAAAAAAATCTGCAATTAATCATAAAATAAACATACAATTTCTAAGAGAATCTTTTATTTATGTTTTTCCGACGAGAATTTCGGAAATTTATTTCCTTATGTATTTTGCATCATCGTTAATGCGTAATCCCAAGATTACCATCAATGGCGCATTTGCAACAATGTTGTAATCATCTGACCTTTGAAAATGACAATAAGATTCCGGGTTTCATTATTATTAGCGTTAAGTATCGCTCATGTCAACCAACACAGTAATTTAGGTGTAATTTAGTATTAGGATATGCCACCTCAAGAAATCTTTAGATTGAGGGTTCTCCCCCTAAGCCTTCATTTATTTCCTGCATATAAAGTAGATGGATGTATTTTGCACGCAATTTGCAAAAGTTAGATCCAGTTGTCATTCACTAAGGATCAATATCGCGGTAAAAAAAATTCGAAACAAAATCAGACATAACAAATAGATATGAAAGGTGCTAGTGTGAGCTTTTTTATCGCATTTGTACTAATGGCAAATTTGCAGAATACTGAGAGCGTAAGTTTTTGTCAAGAACAAGACGCACAATTGCATCAATATGTATTAAAATATCAAAATTTAAATAAGAATTTAAAAAATTATATTAATAATATATATTATAGTGTATTTTGTATAAATTAATATTTTTCACACACAGTATAAGATATAAATATTCATATTTGTTTGGATTTTGTTCTTATCTGTAGAATTTATACAATGAAAAAAATAATAAGAAAATACCATTAAGAGTTTAATATAAAAATAAGAATATTTTAGTCGAGATGAATATGGTGGTTTAATATAAAAGTTTGTCAAGTCATATCTCTAAAAGAGTTAAATCTAAAAATTTTACTTCCTTGTCGAAAAAAAAAAATAAAATACTTTCTCCTTTAATTTTTAATATTTTTAATATTTTTGTAATATATCTTTTTAATATGTAATTTTCCACGTATACAATTCAAAATAATTAGAGACTTACTTTTTTGAAAAATGAATTATGTCTCCATTTTCAGAATATTTTATGTAAAATCTTATTAAAAATAAGAAAATAGATTTATTGATGCATTTATTTATTCGATTTAGAAACTAACTTAAATATTGAGATGTTTCGCATTTTTTGGATCGTGTCATTAGGCCATTTTTATTTACGTAGAGAAAAATGTCCTTGGAAGAATTTAATGAGGCGCTGCTGCCAATGAAAAAATTTGCATAGACAGGATTCGCATCGATCAGAGTATGTATCAATAAAATAAACTAGTTTTACGCATATCTCGAAATTATTAATATTAATAATTGTCATAGAATTTTCTTTTTATAATAAATTTACTAAATATAAGATTACTAGATATAAGTTTACTAAAATAATTTTTATCAATTTATTATTAGCATATAAGCACTAAACTTTATAAATTCTGAACCTTTTATATACATACACACACAAATGTAATTTTTTTATTAATCTAAAATACGATATGTTATATATATATGTGTATATAAATATATGTGCACACACACACACACATACACACACACACACACAATCTACACACATTATAAATACATGTGTATATATTTGCAACATATACAGTAAATATATACATACATACACGTGTGTAAGCCAAAATATAGATTAAATTAAATTATTGTAAAAATAGTGAAAATATAAAAGAATGATAATAATATGTATAACAAAGCTCTCATATTTATTTGTGCATAGAGGTACTTGATAAGGTAAACAAAGGTAACTTTGTATCCGACCGGAAATTGCAGTGTTATTATAAGTGCATGCTATTGAACACAAAAATCGTAAGTAAAATTTCAGTATTTTACTTATTGTTAATAATATTTCGCGAATCTCATCTTTTCTTATGAATCTTTTTCTAAATTATAAAAACTGAGACATCATGTATTAAAAAGAAAATTATTGCTCATTATAACTGTTCTGAAAAATACAAAAAATAGATATTTCTTTGTTCATATAAAATCTGTACATAATTAATCTGTTCTTCCACAAAAAACAATAGAAATATAATTTATCTTTTTTTCTATTTCTAGATGACTAAAGATGACAGGTTAGTGGAAAAGGCATTCGTCAATATTGCAGAGCTCATGTTAAACGACAATCTTTTCGATCCTGTTATGAAAGCATTGGAACATTGTGGTCCAGTCAGTAAGTAAAATACTCAAATAATCAACTAAATAAAATTTTTAAATAACTTCAATTGATTTTTTAATTAATTATTTAACTATTATTTTAAAATATTTTCCGTTCAAGAGTTCTCCTATAATATCTAATATATAGCGATATTTTTTATTTACAGTAAAGAAGAAAGGAGACGGATGTGAATTAGCATACGAGTTAATTAAATGCATCTACGAATTTGATTCAACGGTAATAATCAAACAATCATTTTATCTTTTCATAATACCACAGATTCTAAATATGAAGTAAAAAATAAAATAAATTTTTTTTTATTTTTATAACATATAAACAGTTTCATAACATATTGTAAACATCATTACTGTCAATTTCATTATTAACTGTTCTTACTGCCATTTTAATTCGAAAACTCATTATTAACAAATATTTTATGATACATTCTTCCATATAATGATATTTTAATCAGATAATGTGTATGTATGTATACATTATGTTTACAATACATCTCAGTTCAAACTATTAAATTCTAATTTTTTAAATATCTAATTTACTTTCTTTAATCTAAAAATTAAATGAAAGTTATCACACGGAATTTTGTATATATTATAAATTAATATTATATAAAAATTATTTTTATTTATAAATATACATATTTAGAAATGGTGTATAAAAATATAAAACGTTTTCATATAAGTAAAATTTTTTAAAATCTATAAAATGTTTCTAAATTTCTCAAAAATCTCGCTTTTACAGCTTCTCTTTTTCTCGTGAGGATGTCATTCTCGATCTTCAACGCATTTAGAACGCATTAATTCTGGAAACTATCTCAGCTCATTTTGATATGAAAATAGGCCATTACAGTAGAATATGTATTGTGTATTAAATTCCAAAATCGAAAGAAAAATTATTCCAAATATATTAAATACACATATTAATTAAATAAATCTTATGTTATAACATGTATTCACTTTTTATTCCTTTCCATCTTTTCCCAAGATAAAAAATAAAATTTAATATTGAATCAATAATAATATTAAAATTTAAATCATATATTGATTCAGATATTATTATAAAGTTTCGTTTAATGTAACACACAATATAATATTTTAAATATATTTCTCGACACATATAACATTAAACAATTAAATATTATAATTATAAATATTTAACATTTATAAAACGTTAATATTATATTTCACGTTCCAAAACATTAATAACGTCACAAAACGTTAATAGTATATTTCATAATATAATATATTCAATTAAAAAATTAATTTGCAAATGATTTTGGCAGCAATCAATAAAATATTTTGTAACATTGAATTTATTAATATATCTTATTAATATAACTTATTAATATATCGCAAAATTAAATTTAACTATTTTATTTTATTTTATTTTTTATACTGAAATTGTAAATTAATTATTCCTCACATGTTTTTTCTATAGTATGGTCTATACCATACAAACAAACAAGCCAAATAAATGTAAACGGGCCAATTTCCGGAAGGCAATCAACCATTAAAATGCTACACACTCTGCATAATGAAAGCGATGCGAACTGTAAGAAATAAAAGCACTATTCACTTAATTGTAGCGATATATGAAACATAACTATAAATAAAATATCGTTCAATATATTGGAAGTCAATAAAAAATTAATTATATTGTCTTAGTGAGCTTTGAGAAAAAATACTAATGCACTGTATACATATAAAAAATGCGGGAAAAAAAATTAACCCATTTATTCTCTAATTTGTTTAAAAAAGCCGACACACCTAAACTTTTATTTTCGAGGACATACAATATATAGTTATGATAACCGCGTTTTATTCTAAAAATTTTTTTTAATTTAATTATGTTCAAAACAATGCATTATTTGATTACTACTGTCATCTGAAATTTTTTTAAAGATAGATATGAATTCTGATTCATAAATGATACACTCTTAACTTTGCATAGATAAAATACCGTGGGTAATACTGGTCAGAAGAAGTGATTCATTAATTATCTATAGTGGAACTTATTTATGAATCAGCCTAATGAAATAGATAATATCGAAGTATTTTCAAAACATAAAGTATTTCTTATTGCCGTATTTTCTGACTTATAACATATTTATTATATATTCGTCATTAAAAGAAATTGATCGGCTTAATCTTTATTTTTTTTGTTGTATATCAATACATGCATATTAATGTTGCAAAAGAGTTTTATCATAATATTTGCGAAGATAATAACGAAAAAATATCATCTTTATCAATATCGTAATTTAACTGAATTCTTTGATTTAAACATTTGATTTAAAAATTCAAAGAATATCAACGATTTTATTAATCGAAAAATTTGACATTAAAAACGTCTTAATATAATTTACAAGAATATGCAATATAAAAGTTCCTACTTTTCTAATATCTATATTAATATTCTAATATCTAAATAATTATCTATATTATATATATATTTTTTTACAAATCATGTGAAAGAGTGAACGCATAGATGATGGCATGATGATTAAACAGTTAGATCTACCATATAATGATACCTGTCGAAATGGCTGCGTCTATGAAAGCATCTACAATTGCACGAGCAAACCTGCGTAAGTATATTTTTGTGAAACAAAAATTAAAATATATAATTTTAATAAAAGAAAATAATGCATTTTGGAGATAATTAAATAATAAACATTTATGTTGTTGTTTTCTATGTA